AAATCTTTTTACTTTTCTGTATCACTATTGTGTTTTGTGATAGTTTCTTTTTTGGGGGGGGGTGGATGGGGGGGGGTAGGTGGTGTTTTTATGATGACTAAAACTTTAAGGCCAAGAAGGAGACAAGACATCCTTATACCATATTGTAAGACACATTGAAATCCTCCCCACCCAAATCCATGGTGACTCTCAGCTCTCTGCCTCTATTCTGTTTCTCTTGTTGGTTAGGGGCAAAGAGAAAGGCCCTGAGAAAGAAAGGGGAAAATTATTGGAGGACAAGCCTCAAAGATCAGGCCCAACATTAGTTTGTTCCTCCCCAGGCTTCTGCTTTTCTTTTTTCTTTTTTCTTTTTTTTTTTTTTGCCTTGGAAAGATTTACCTCTTATACACTACAACCATGTTTCCCCCACCTACTTCACAAGTATTAGGAGAAGACATACCTTTTGGGAGCCTTTGTCAGGTGGGGGATTAGCTCAAATGGTAGAGCGCTCGCTTAGCATGCGAGAGGTAGCAGGATCGATGCCCGCATCCTCCAGTTTTGTGATTCCCTTCTGGTGTAGAAGTGTGAGTGATTTGTTAACCAGAGAGTGGAATATAATCAGACTCCACATCCCAGGGCAGAGAACACCTTTCCCTTCATTATAGTGACCCTACTATGCCTATACCATCATTCCACGGGAACCATATAAGACAATCACAACTAAAATAAAATGTTGGATAACTCTCCTATGCATGTTTATTGAAATAGATAGTTGGGCCAGTACTAGAATGAACATTTACAATTCACTAGTTGGTTTCCACATCTTTGCTGTTGAGATTCAATTACTGGTCCCCAAATCCTTTTTCTTATAGGCAGCACTATTATCTTCCTTCTTGAGATAGTTTCTTTTCTTTGGGGGGCTGGGGCGGCAATATTTCTATGATAACTAAAACTTTAAGGCCATGAAAGGAGTGAGACATCCTTATCCATATTTTTAGATGCCCTGAAATCCTCCCCACCCAAAGCTATGGGACTCTCACCTCTCTGTTCTTCTCTCTGGTAAGCAAGAGGTAAAGAGAAAAGCCCCAAGAAAGAAATAGGAAAATAATTGGAGGACAAGACTCAAAAATCCAAAAGCAGAGATGAAGCCTTCCCAGAATGACAGAACCTGCCCAAATCTTTGCCACACCAGAATGGCTTTCAACAATCCAGCATACATATCCCAAGGAACTCAAAAATAAAGTCCAATAAATAGTATAAGCTATTCATAGCCACATTCTGTGCTTGACTGAACAAACTGGGCTCAGTCCCAGTGCTCAGAAGGTTCAATTAGGGAAATGTGACTGACTGCTCACAGCTTCTTAGGACAGGTAGCAGGATAGTTGGGAGCCAGCACTTGGAAAGGGGTTGGGCACCAGGCCCACTGAGGCTGTTCCTAGGGAGAATTCTGATTTTTGTCACCAACCTTTGCTCTCTTTCCTCTGAGGAATTCCTCCCCCTAAAAGTTACCCAAAAGCAATTGGAAAGGGAAGGTCAGCCTCCTTCCCTGGTCCCTTGAATTTGCTCCCAGTACCTGGTCCAAATCTTGTTGCTAAAACTCTCAGCTCCTAAGCAGGAGGTCCTGATTTAGAATTCCACTTGGACTCCTTTTCTTCTTCCTCTCCCCTCCAGTCTTACCTTGGGATCCAGCAACCTGGGACAGGACCAGTGCAGGCCTCCCCTTCTACCATCTTGGACTGAGGCCTTACAGGATCCCACTGATCTGATGCCATGAAAGCCAAGAAGCATTTAAGAAGCACCTACTTTGGACAAATTCCTAGGCTAGCCCTTGAAGATACAAAGACCAAAATAGTCTCTGTCCATAATCAGCTTACATTCCACTGGATCCTAGCCAGGAACAAATGTCCTCTCTCAGCATTAGTGAGTAATGTATCCATTACACTGTGCCTCGCATGAGCAGAGTATAATAGAATTTTACAGCAGAAATGAGGATTGTTCTTTGGCCAAAGAAAGTCTGCACAAAGTAAGTCTGAATATGTCTAGTTTGAGCTGGGGACCTCTTGCCAGTATTGTTGTTTCAGACCCCAGGAAGGGCCTTGCATTTCATGCTGCTGGGTTTGTCCAACCATTAATAGGAGGGAGGCCATGGTTACCTGAGTAAGAGTACTAAAAAGTGGGAGTGGGGAAAAAAGGGAGGTGGGAGTGGAAGAGACTGCCCTACTTGTCTTTCTTTTCAAGTTTGCCTTTGCTCTGTGTTTGTATTTGTCCTCAGAAGCTTTCCTCCCATCTTTCCCTCCTGTCTCTGGCCTTATCCACCCACTGTAATCTGAGGAATCCTCCTTTGGTCTTAGGTTCTCAGAGGCAGGCAGCCCCCCAAACATTAGAGGTATGTAGCCTTCTAAAGGCTGTTCAGAGTAGTTTGTGAGCCAGTTATTTGGTTTGGAGCCATTAGTTTAGATGGTAGAATGCTTGCTTAGCATGTTAGAGGTAGCAGGACTGATACTGGCATCCTCTAATTTTGATTTCTTTCCAATGTAGAGTTAATGGTGGGCATTGGCCAGCCATGCCCCTCTCTCCATGTTCTAGGAAAAAGTGACATGAGATCTGAGTCCAGCTGATGACTCCCACTTTCTCTGAGGTCCTTCCCAGCTACAAAGGATTATTAATTCTGCATTTGAGCTTGGGGGTGCCTTGGGGTTGATAAGAAGCTGAACAACAACCACGTATGCAGAACACAATGGATTCACTATCACTCCTTGACCACTTGACCACCTGATCACCTAAAGGTAGGCAGGTATCCCTTGTGTGTATGAGGAAATTTTACATGGGAAAGGCAGAGATGTCTGGTGCAGAAGCAAGTGAATTTTCCACAAAATGTGTTTGGTTATTATGAGGATAGGGCATGTGATAATGGGTTTTCTTCTTTCAGCTGCTCAGAGATGTGGGACTTCCTGTCCAGAGGTCCTGTGTAATGGGACACCATCTACTATCTGAAGAACTAGGAGGGCACAGATTCTTTCTGAAAGTGCCAAAGATGTTGAAAAGAGAAGCAAATAGTTAGGCCTGGCACAAGTGGAGCACCCTGGGAAAGAAGAGATAAATACCAAGTGAGAGAGAGAAAGAGATAGAACAGAGCAACCCAGTTGACTCAGGCCAAGGGGAAAAGGATGGGAGTTTTGATCTGATGTCTTGAATGTGTGAATGGGGGCATGCAAAGTGGAGGGTAGTTTTCCCAATTGTCCTCCGAAATTTCCTGATCTGATTGTCTTGATGACTATTTTTAAGAGTTTAACATTTTTCCAAAGGGCTTTGATATGTGTCCCAGAAGGTTCTGCTGTGATTTCTTCATCTTCAGCTCTTCTCTCCCCCTTTTTCTCTCTCCCCCCACAATTGGTGGCTCTGTCAATAGAGCACTGGGCCTGAATTTAGGAAGACTCATCATCCTGAGCTCAAATCTGCCCTCAGACGCTTTCAAGCTGCGTGACCCTGGGCAGGTCACTTACTCTTGTTTGCCTCAATTTGTAAAATGATCAGGAAAAGGAAATGGCAAAACCATTCCAATATCTTTGCCAAGAAAACCCCAAATGGGATCACGAAGAGAGATTCATGACTGAATAACAACCTCTTCAAGTTTAGTCCCTTGGGGCCCATGGAGGTCTACTTTCACAATGAGACAACTTGTCACAATGGGACACCCTCATTATTATCATCTCATACTATCTACACCTCCTGGAGTAGGTCAGAGGCATGCCCCCAGGTCTGTTTTACTAGCACCAATGTGATTCTGGGCCTGAGGAAGGTCTCTTTTGCTTTGTCTTTCCTAAAATTTCTGGGATTCCAAATCCTGAGCAGTCACCAAAGGGAAACTCTCAAGCAAGCAAGAAAAGAATGTGTGTGTGTGTATGTGTGTGTGTGTGTGTGTGTGAGTGTGTGTGTGCATGTGTGCGCATGCACGCGAGCACTCCAGTACACAGGTAGATAATGACCTTTTTTAGATAGGTTAAGATTAACTGGAAATTGAAGTGAATGACCTTAAAGACCATACAAATCAGTCCAAGCTCAGTCCAGACCTACCACCTCCTTCATATAGAAACTTAGGTCCCAAGAGAAAAGGGAAGGAAAGACCAAGTGTGGTATTATCCTAGACAACAGGTCATTGAGGGGAAGGAGACAGCAGAGTTTAGAGAGTGTGAGCTGAACTTAGACTGCAGCAGTGGTTGGAATGGGGCAGGACAGGAAGGTGATATGGAAGAAGTTGGGAAATCAAGGCCTGGAGCAAAGCTTTCTAGGCCTCTTCAAGTATAACAGATGTCTCACAATACTCATAGAAAATCATGGAAAATGGTTTCCGTATTAGTCATTTTGTCCGAGAAAAAAAGGAAGGAAGAAAGAAGGAAAGAAAGAAAGGAGAAAGGAAGGAAAGAAGGAAGAAAGAAAGAAATAAAGCAAGCTTTGGTCTGTATTCAGACAATATCAGTTCTTTCTCTGGAGGCAGATGTGCGTGTTTCTTGAGTCCTTTGGGATTGTCTTGGATCATTGTATTGCTGAGAATAAATAGTTAAGTCATTCACAGTTCTTCATCCCACAATGTTGTGGTTACTGTATACAACGTTCTCCTGGTTCTGCTCGCTTCACTTTGTATCAGTTCTCATAAATCTTTTCAGGTTTTTCTGAGAGTATCCTGCTCTTCATTTCTTACAGCACAACAGTATTTCTATCACAATCATATACAACAACTTGTTCAGTCATAGAACCTATGGATATGGATTTATTTTGCCTTTGCTTCAAATTTTTCTATAGCTTCCCATTGTTTAGTGAGTAAATTTTACACTTCTTTGAAGGGCATTCAATCCTTCAATAGTCTGGAGCCAACTTACCTTCCCTGACTTATTTATTTTATTCCTTTTTACACATTTTATATTCCAGTCAAAATGGAAACCAAAACTCTCTATTTCTCTCTCTCCCTCTCTGTGCGTGTGTGTGTCTGAGTCAAAGCAGGCGTGAGTATTGGGGGGGAAAAAAGGCCCCACTGGGATTCGAACCCAGAGATCTCCTGTTTACGAGACAGGCGCTTTTACCAACTAAGCCACGGAGCCTCGTACCTAAATTATTTTGGATCTATAAAAGAGAGGGAGTGTGGATGAAAGCAGCCTTTCTGTTTGCGCCCAAGTTAGAGAAGCCAGCGGGGGGACCTTTCTCGTCTTTTCCTTCTGAATCATTCCTACCTCATTTTCCCACTCCCTCCCCATTGTGCTGGAAGCTTGCATAAATATATTATGTCAGACCCAGAAGGAAGTAAATTATCTCTTACGGATTCCATTCCTCCTTTTCGTCCTCTCCGTAAATGGACAGTCTCGAGACTGGAAAGGACGTCAGAGCCAGTACTGTCTGGTTCTTTATTCAGCTACCCCGGCAAGCGCTCGGGCGGCTTCGGTTTGCACATGTTAGTTGCTGAGGTTTGAAACACTGTTTTACCCTCAAAGAGACCTTGAGCTGTTTACTTAGACTCCCTGGTCCTCGATGTCCTTTTCTGTACAATGAAGGGTCTGGATTAGATGACCTTTAAACCTAGATGACTTTCAAACCGAGATGACTTTCCAGCAGTGATAAATTTCAGTTCTCTCTGGACTGAGGGACTTAACATCTATCCATGCAGCTCATTCTACTTGGGGAGAATGCTTACCAAAATTTCCCATCCCCGGGGCCAAGTCTTGTCGCCCTTTCATTTTATAGCCCTACAAATACCGGAAAACAGCTGTCAAGGAGAGGCAGATGAGTCAGAAAGAGCACAAAATTCTTAGTCAAAGGATATGGGTTTATATCTCTGCCAGGCCACCTGCTTGCTCTTCTGTAAGCCTGGGTTTCAAATATTAAAATGAGAATTTTAGACGCCTTGACCTTTAATACCTCTTCCAGTTCTACATTCTTTGCTTTCCTTTAAGCCTTCTCCTGGCAGAATATCCCGTTTGGCAGGTCATCTTCTGGCATTGTTTCATGTCCCCTCACCATCTCTGCCCCACCTTGGACCTTTGAATCAACATATTTCCTAAAACGTGGCAGCCAGAAATAAATGAACCATTTAATAGGTAAAGACACCAGAGGAGATTACTATTGCACCCTACGGTGTGCAATGATCTTTTCTCTGGCTGCATTGTCAACACATCAGTGGGGACTCCACTGATCTTGAACTCCACTAAGACCTCATTTTTACATGAATTTTTAACCATGCCTTCCCCCATCTTGTATTGAATGCAATTGATTGTCTTTGGAGAAAGATGGCATAATAACCTGGACAGCTGTAATAATTCCTGATTGGCTTCATTACTTCCCATCATTACTTCTCTTCAGCTACTTCATCTTCTTCATCTACCCTCCATAAATTTGTCTAAATTATCTTTCTATTGCTCAGAAATTATGGGGACTATCTGTGCATGACTTACAGAATGAGAGAGATCTGCAGTACTTAATCAAGTTATGGGGAGAGAGAATGACAACCATTTCCCCTCCCTTTCTCTCTCTCCAGGAGGAAATTGAATATGCTTGTTGAGTTATTTACTCACTTGAAGTCTTGTTTCCTCCCAACTCTTCCAGGCTTGAGGACAGGGGAAGTGGGAAAACTCTGCAAGTTTCCATCTTTTCCTAAGTCTTCTCTTTTGTTTTGAAGTCTTTAAAATACAACAAAACCTGTCAGTCAAAGAGACCCTAAGCAGTTTGTTGTACCTTACTTAACGTTCACAAATACATATATAATAGAGAAGGGGAATTTTCCTTCAAAGGAGGAGAGACATTTTATACAATTGAGCTCCACTAGGGGTTGGAGCAGAGAAAATTAAAGTGGGGAGACTGGTGCTGGATCTTCACTAACCTCCCAGAAATATCTGGGACCAAATTTAGACAGATATCCCTAGGTCAGGGGTGGGGAACCTTTGGTCTTGAGGCCATATATGACCCTCTAGATTCTCAAGTGCAGCCCATTGACTGAATCCAAACTTCACAGAACAAATCCCCTTAATAAAAGGTTTTGTTCTATGAAACTTGGACTCAGTCAAAAGGCTGCACCCAAAGACCTAGAAGTCTACATGTGGTCTTGAGGCCACAGGTTCCACATCTCTGCCCTAAGAGATCTGTTCCTTTTGGGGGTGGGGGGAGATCAGACGCAGAATGTCAGGCTAGAAGTGAGCTATCATTTTTAATGTGAGAGGTTTGGGAAGCTCCTCAGTTTTGCAGGTTTCCTGGACCCCAAATTCTAATGGGGGGAGGAGCAGGAAGGAGGGAGTGAGGTTGCCACCCATGCAGCAGTCTTGCCTAATAGAGAAGGCTTCAAATGAGTTACTTGTAGCCTAGCTGCGGTTCCAGTGCCTAAAATTGCTCAAAAGCTCCCCCAGGTGGTTAGGGAATCATAGTGTCCAGAGCAATCCATGTGGTCATTTTACTCTACTCTGTCACAGTCCCTCTGCATCTGAGGTATTGCATTTAGTAATGGCTGCCACATTTTAGGAAATACGTGGCTAACCTAGATTGTTCAAAGATGATGGTGAACAGACAGGAGATTTGGGATAGAGAACAGAAGCCAGATGGAATCATAGGGTATAGGGCTGGGAGAGTGCCTAGAGATCATCTAATCCAACTCCCTCATTTTGGAATGATAAAATCAAAGCCCACAGAGGAAAACTGACGCACCTTGGCCCACTCAGCAAACAAGTGGTAGAGCTGGGGTGACAACCCAAGTATTCTGACTCAAATTTAAGGTTGTCGATACTCATGTTCTCGCCCTCAATAGAGAGAGGCAAAGTCAAAAACAACTGCTCCTCTGCCCCAATCTTGTTAAGATGACCAGGGAGCTCCCCTGACCAATCCTTAACACTTTGGATTTAGTTTGTTATGGTTAAAAACCTGCCACAACTGCCTAGAAGTCTCTTCGGGGTTTCATGTTTACTAGATCATATGGCCACTTATTTCTTTTTTTATTTTTATTGCTGCTCACTCTCTATATGCTGCTCTCCATTACTATGTATGATAATCATTTTAGCTCTTCAGAATCTATTTTTTTGTTTCTTTTAAAAATTTTGTATTAATTTATTTTTAGTTTTTAACATTCACTTCCATAAGCTTTTCAGTTTTGAATTTTCTCCCCCTCCCTCCTGTCCCCCTTCCCCAAGACAGCGTGCAATCTGATATAGGCTCTACATAGACATTCCTATTAAACATATTTTCACATTAGTCATGTTGTAAAGAAGACTTAGAACTAATAGGAGGAACCACAAGAAAGAAGAAACAAAACAAAATGGAAGAAAAAAAGCAAATAGTATGTTGAAGAATTAATTGTAAGATTTGAAAGTTAGCAGGGGGGTTGGTTATGAAAGGTCTTTGAAATAGGAGAATTCTCTATGCACATACATCATTCTTTTCAAAGAAATCCCATTTTTTTCCCTCTTTGCTGGAATTATTTTCCTTTCTTTCTTCAAAATTTCATTCTTTTTTTAAAAATTAATTTATTTTAATTTATCAACAATCACTTCCATAAGCTTTTGAGTTTTAAATTTTTCTCCCCTTCCCTCCCTGCCTCCCTCCCCAAGACTGCACACAATCTCTTCAGAATCTATTAAATTCCATGTCTTGCAGCCATTTAACGAAAATGGCAGAATATTGGTGTTACAAACTAATGGACTTTCACTTCTGGAAGAAGGTTGGGATCATTAAAGGAACTTTGCAATTTCCTGAAGGTAAATGAAACCACTCTGTTCTTGTTTAATCTTGGATTCAACTTGTCCATTTATCTGTCCCCAACATATATATTGATGAGGTTGTCCCTCTAATTGCATTTCCTGACCTGGGCAATAGACATTCTTCTACGTGTTTCTGTTGTTTGGATGATTGGGACAAAGACTTCTGAATGATTATGGATCTCTTCTGTAAGGATTTGTAATGTCCTAGAGCTTGGGGGAACTAGCATGTCAACTACAAACAGGAGCATTTGGAGGACCTCATAATCTATTTAGGAAATCTCTCTTAAATTTGGAATTTGTGCTAGATTTCTTGTTGTAGTGGTGGATGCATTTGATGGTCATATTTCTCTCTGAACCAGGTTTTCCCTTTCAAAGTATATAAAATAATTATGTTATATAGAGGGGAGTGACCTTGTTGGAAGACAGCCTTTAAGAAAGTGCTTTGCTCTACCAAAACAATTTAAAAAAATACTCAAAACCATAAGCACAGTGGGACTTTGCATTCTCTACATGGCTGGTGTTGTAAAACCGAAAATTGATTTTAATTCTATTTTGCTAAGACTTAATCAAGCTAGGTTTAATATTCTCTTTCCTGCCTCTTCCCCCTTGTAAACTTCACCCACCTCCACCTTTGTAACTCCACCCATCTTTCCCTTTTCAGAGAAAACTGGTTAACCTAAAGGTCAAATCTTATTAATTTAAAATATTGTAGTAACTCCCATCACCAGACAACTGCTCCCATTGCCTGGGAACCTCTGTCTTGTAAGTCTGATCACAAGACTTTACTGTGGATAAAGAGGTTTCAGAAGGGGTGATCCAAATGATTTAATCTCTATTCTGACTATGTCACAAATAGACAATCAGAAGACATATCTATGTAGCTTGAAATTTTGCTGTGTCATCTTGTTAATTGATAGAAAATACCTCACTTGGGTATTTAGTGTTACTGAGGTAGTTAGTCACTGACCCATTTTGTTAGTAGATTTGAGCTGTTCTAAAAAATTGATAATGCTGGGAACTGTGTGTCAGTTTACTTTAATTTTCAATTGTTCAAATTTTCAAATAAAAATGGGGAACCACTAAATCATACATAAGGATCCCTATAGGCTGCATATTGACTTAAGAAACCACCTATTAATTTTATGTTTTGTGTTATTTTATTAAACATTTCCCAATTACATTTTAATCTGGTTCTAGCAGAACTAGGGAATGTGGGCCAGCTCAGAGGTGTGGTATTTTACACCTCTGCTCTACATCTTTCAGCCAAATTTGTGATGGTAAATATTAGGTTTATTGTGAAATATTGATTGTGAAAGCTAATACCTTTGTTCTGGATGCCCTCTACGCATGGTAGCAAGGAGTCCTGCAGT